GTCGCTGGAAATACCTCGGCGGCAAGAAGAAATCCAAAAACGCCTTTTTGAACCTCGTCCATGATTCTCCTAGCAGCTGGCTCGTCCGGAACCAGTGCTCGGCCGTGTCCGTCAAAAGGCCAGGGATGGCCTGCGGCATCTTCTCCACGTCGACTTCGTAGGCCGTTGCTCGTTCCTCGAGATGCTGGATGAAGGTGATGGGATCCGTAGTGCCATCGAAAGTTATTCCCCAGTTCCTGAGTTTCTCCGACAGTGTCGCTGCCGACATCTCCGCCTTCTTTGGAAGAGTCTCACGCCTGGCCGGGAGGGTCTCCACGTCTCTGGCCACGTCGGCGGTAACTCTGCCCTCCAGTACCGGCACTTGCAGTTGCGCGGGACCCGGTGGGTGTGGTTGTGGACTCGGCGATCGTTGTTTCCTATCCGCTAGAGTGGCGTTGATTTCCGCCTCACATTCCTGTAGTCGTTCGATGACTTCCAGCACGTGATCATCTTGATTGTTGAAGGCAGCCAGCCGGCTCCGCATTTCCTCCACGGTTCCGGTTGCTTCCAAGGAAAACTCCTTCAAAATCGCCTCCAATTCCCGCTTCCGCAGATACGCGATCCAGCGTGCGCCCATATTGCTGTGAAAAATTAATCAACTGGCAAACGACAAGGGAAAAAAAATTCGAAAGGTCGAGAGAAATATTTCAGACGAGGGTCAAGCGACGGTTGAGTTGATTAACTTCAGTGAAATATTTGATTTTTATTTTTCACACAAAAATCACCAAATGCCCACGTGCAACTAGGTTAAACTCGAATTTGATGTAAAACGACGATTTAATGTTGCTGCTCTCCTCGACGGGGATTAAATTTATTCGACGACGATGCAAGCTTGTAGAATTTCCACGACGATGAGTCAAATTAGACGACGGCGATGTAAATTTAATTCGACGATGATGCAAAGTTTTATTCCACGATGCTGTAAATTTTATTCGACGGTGATCGCGACTTAGTAAAATTGGTACGACGATGGCTTTTACTTCCGTTGAAAACTGCGACTGTACGTGTTGACTCGACGGCGGTTGAAAAGAGAAGGGCCTCCGATGCGTGTCTGCAGGCTGTATTCGATCGCCGCTGGTGTGAGAGAGACGACGATGAGAGTGAAGGGTGAAAACAAAATGGCTGCGCTGTGGGGAGTTTGGGTTAGCTTTTCCCTGCCTCGTGCTTTCGAAATTCTCGCGACCTGACTTGGCTACCTAGAGGGCTTTTCGCTCTCGCTCTCTCTCTCCTATTTTTTCCTTTCCCTCTTTGCTTTCTTTGCTCGATTCTATTTCTTGGCCCACGTGTGTTTCTGGTCACGTGATCAGATAACCTCTCGTTTTAGGTTATGATCTTTTCACGGCTGGGGGTATAAAAATTTTCGCTGCGTGTGCCACGAGTTTCTGAGAGTGGGTATACTTTTTGGTTAAGTTCTCCCGATTTTTGCCATGTGCTTTGAGAAAAAAAAGTTTTTAAGTTTTTTTTTTTTTTTCCGATTTTGAGGTTATATAAAATGCCCGGTATATATTCTTGTCGATATATATATATATATATTCACGTAGTTTTCTGCCCTAGAAATTTTTGGTGTCCCTCGACATCCGACTCTCCATACGTTCCGACTTAGAAAATTTTCTCTAAGTGGCGGAACCGAAAATTTTTCAAACTTGACGTATCCGAATGGGTCTTTAGGCCATATTTTTTCGACGTCTAAAGTTCGTAAACCCCATGTCCCTGCTCGGGCGCCATTCTGTAAGGAAGTTCGACGGCTGGGGTAAGCCTCAGTCACGTCCAAGGTCCTCTTTAACAGAAAAATTTGTAAAGATGTGGGACAAAGTGTTTTGACGGACGGCAAACTGACATGAGATGGTAATGGTCAGTTACCGGGATACGCAGCCAGAAAAATGGCTGATTCGGTCTCTGCAATAGAGCGAAATATTCGTCGGAGCGCGTTTTGGGTCGGGCCCATAGCAATCGCTAGAAGGAGACCGAAAGAGGGGTCGATTTTGGGGACCACCGTTTCCTAGGGCAGAGTTTATGGCCTAAGATCTAGGCATTTTGGGCAATTATTCTACGAAATTCATGGCCAGCGTGACGGTGGGTCGTTCCCTCGCGAGCTGGACTCGATCGGAGTCGAAGATTTTACTTGAGAAAGCTTTTCTGGAATTTATTTAATTTTTCTCAATTCTAAATGTCTCTGCATTTTATTTTTTTCCCACTGAGGACAGCATACGGCCTCTCGGAAGTGGCAATCAGTGATTAGCTCCTCCGCGAGAGCACAAAAATATATATATTAAATAAGATTTTACTTATATCTCATTGTTAAATTTCGGAGTAAAATTTCTCCCAGTGTAGGCGAAACTCAGCCTTTCCCGCGAGCACCAAAGAAGAAAATTTATATTTATGAGAGCTTTCTTGAATTTATTTAATTTCTCCTCATTTTAAATTTATCCGCGTTTATTTTTTTTCTCAGTGTGGGCCGCGGCTAGATAATCCGCGAGAGCAGGAATATATTTTGAATAAAATTTACTTAGGTCTCATTATAAAAGTTTGGAGGGGAAATTTCTCCCAGTGTAGGCCATCCCCCGCAAGCACCAAAGAAAAATTATAAATACATCCGAGTTTATGTTTAATTAGTTTTCAGTTTCATTATTTATTTATTTTTACTTGAGTTGTATTTTCTTCAAAAAATGTTTATTTTTCAGTTTTCATTGGGTTTTATTTTTATTTAAATCAAGTTGCATTTTTCCAAAATTTCTCTCTTTTAGTTTTCGTTTTGGTTTTATTTGAATAATAAAGTTTGCAGGGAATTTTAACAAAAAAAAATATGGTTAGATGTCGGGGCATTATTTCTAGCCTACTCTAGCGAAAACCGCATCCTGGCCATCGAGAAATTTCTATTTACACCGGTACCCGCTGGCCAAAATGCGATCCTCCTATACACTCACCCGTCTCCGTTTTTCCGCACACACACACGTGCCTGCCGGTGGCTGCTGTTTCCGCCACGTCCTCGCCGTCCGTTTCCAAAAGAATTTTCCTCCTTGGCCGTCGAGAAAAATCAAACTCCGCTGCACGTCACTGGCTGCCTCACGATCGTTGGGGCACTCGGTATAAATTGTCACTGTCAATAGGCACTTTTCCCGCACTCGTTGGTCGCAAGAAAAAAAAATATAACTCCGTCGCTTGAGGAAAAAAACACTCCCGTTTTGGCTTCGCTGTGAAAAGAACTCCGTCGTCCGCTCGCACGTCTCTTCGATTTCGTCGCCTCCGCAAAAGTAAATCAGACCACGCGGCTTTGCCAAATTTTCGGCCGCGCCGGTACCTTTCCGTTGCTCATTGCATTGCGGTGCATCAGCTTCCCTCTCGCTCTCTCCTGTTGGCGCGTGCCAATTTTCGGGGGTTGTTTTGCGCTCGATCGTATGCTCGCTCTCTGTTGCTCTCATACGGCGCTAACTCCGTGGCCACTTATTCGTGGTGAATAGCTCTCTCTGCTCTCCGCGTGTAGATATGTGTGTGTGTGTGTGCGGGGTCTAGAGATGTGAGAACGGGGAACCAAAGATAACTACAAACTCTTTTCTATGCTTAACTTTTGTACAGCTTATAAATGACTATATTATTCTATTAAAGTATACGTTGCCCCTTTTATAAAGAATGTATACGAAAATGATTATATCTACAATGAATTATTTATACAAAGCTTAAGGTTACAAAAGGAGAAGTGAATAAAGTATTTTACAAGAGATTATTTAAATATTGACAAAGAGAGTAATTGGGCGTTTGCCGGTTTGTTTTTGTTGTTTTTCGCTGCTCGCTGCGGTGGCTCTCCATGAGCGTTGGCGGCGGTTGTTTTGCCGTCGGCTGTTGTTGTTGTCGCTGCCGGCTCCTGATCGCCGTTGTTGTTGGCTTGGTGAGCTGTTGATACGCGCTGCCGCTGTTGATGACGTAGCTGCGGTTGTTTTTGCTGGCTACGGGCGCGAAGTATTGTTTTCGCTGGTCGCGCTGGCCGTTGCCATTGCCGCTGCTGTTGGCCGCTGTTGTGGCCGTTTTGTCGATGACGTCGACGTTGGTGACGTGGCGGCCGTCGTTGTTGTTGACGGCGAGAGCGCGCTGTTGTTGTGGCCGCTGCTCGGGCCGGTGTTGAGGCCGCTGGCCGCTGTTTTCTGACGTCGCTGTTGATGACGTGGCCGTTGTTCTGGCTGATGTTGGTGCCGTCGGCTGCTGGCGCGGGTGGCCGGTGTTAAGGCTGATGTTGGTGCCGCCGCCAGTATTGGTGGGGAGTCAGACGACTCCTCACACATGATCGACTAGTTGAATACTCGCCATTAACTGGGTTGGTTCAACGTATCGTCTAACAATTTGGAAAGGATTACTTCATTTAAATTTTTGAATTCATTGCAAAAAAACAAAGACATCATCTCAACCAGTAATAGCATTCAACAACTTGTAATAAAAATAAATAATTTCATGAAAATGTTTAAACATCAAATTTTCCCCGAACATGAGCAATATCTGGAGGAGTCGCTCAAATATTTTTATAAAAGGATGGCTGATACACGGCTGGTTTCTAATATTCATGGACAACATTTCACATCTTGTTGTTGGGCACACGATAATGTCGAGAATGGAGTTGATACATGTGCTTGCTGTTCAAACATGAACACGGTTTTAGATAAGAAGCATCTGTTAGCGATAAAGTCCCAGCAGCAGAGCACGGCCTAGCACCATATCTATCTATTAATACAACCGCCACTTGAGCCTATGTAAGAAGTATCCCGAAATATGACCTCCTGCGAGCGGTCTGGGTTTGTTTAAGATATGTTCTTTCGGGGTGACTGTTTGCACTCTTATCGTATATTTCTCACGATCGGGAACTGTCCGATGCGTGGGTCTAGAACTAAGATCTACAATGTACATTCTCATGTTAGCTATATAAGCTAGGGTTTAAATGAAATAAAATCAGTTTCTTACAAAAACTCAGCATATGAAGACTTCTAATTTATTTGGGGTTTTCATTTTGGTCAATCGAGCCTTCGGAGCATTTTTGCTTCGATAACTCTGCAGTTTCCCCCTCTATGGTAAGGGACTCAGAGTAAGGCGAGCTCCTTCAAGCGAAGCAAGGAACACTTGTAGCTAAAAGGTAGCAAAATAATTAACTCTTGTTTCCCCCCACCCGTGGTAAGGAACAGAGTATAAAATAAAAACAAAAAGGCACAAAAGAGTCTTTTATGTTTTAAATACAAGCACCATTTAGGTTGCTGTAATACCATGGAAGAAATGGTAAGGCGTGCTGGAGCCAATAATATCAGTAGAAAATGTGCTTAAAGAAAATGTAAAAAGTGCATAAAATTATGTTATGGTATTTGAAATGGCCAACATATACCATATATATGCAAAAGGATAAAAAAAAGAGTCCTTCTTGTTAAAAAAAAAAAAGTTGTCGAGGAATCGACAAAATTAAAAAATAAATATAACAAATATTTATTGTGGGCGTTTTTTCGAGGCCTAAAACATCGAAAAGTCGCGGTAGTGAAAAAAAGGGCCTATCGTGACAAAATTAAAAAAAAAAAACACAATAATAAAAAAGTTTTTAGTGGTCGTGAAAACGATAATTCAAAAGGTCAAAAAAGAGTCCCTTTTGTTTTTAAACAAAAAAATTTTTTCCAACTCCATTGGTTGGTTTTTTTTAAAATTAAAGGACAATAAGAGTCCTTATTAATATTTTTTCCAACTCCATTGGTTGGTTTTTTTTGTAAATGCCAGATATGGCAACCAGAAAATAAGAATAAAATAATTTTCTGGGGTCGAGAAATCGGCTAAGATATTGTGTGGAAGTTACCCAGCCCTTGACGGAGAAAAGTAGAAGGAGGGACGACCTCACGGCAGCAACTACAAATAAGTCTGCAACAACAACGACGGCCGCAGCGACGATACAGAAACAGGCGGCATCAGGAAATCATCCTACTACAACCAAGAACGGCGGCAGCGACGACAGCAGCAGCAAAAACAACAACATCAAATTTAAAAACGACGGCGGCGCGGCAGAAGCAGCAGCTAAGTCAACTTAATTAAAATTCGTTTTTATAATAATTTTTTGATTTTGTAAAAAAAAAAAAGAATTTATAAATATTGCACTAAAAAAAAAAAGAAAGTTCAATCAGCAGTTACTTAACGCAATATTCCCCCGGCAGGACCTCACTTCGGAGGTATTTATAAAGCTGGAGTTAAAGTCATAAAGTCAGTTTCAATACCAATTGTTTAATATAAAGGAAATTGTTCAAAAATAATAGAAAAAAGAAATACAAGCGGGTAAACTATTTTTCATGAATTAAAAATTAAAAGTTAAAAAGAAATAAAATTGTACATGTATTAAGCCATGATACGGAGGGCTTTGTAAAATATTAGTTGCAAAATTAATTATATCGAATTAAAACAAAATAAATACAGTCCACTTAATTTTAATTGCAACTAATTTAAATGTACCCCGAATCTTGCTGGCCCTTGGCAGAATGTTCAAACATGAACACGGTTTTAGATAAGAAGCATCTGTTAGCGATAAAGTCCCAGCAGCAGAGCACGGCCTAGCACCATATCTATCTATTAATACAACCGCCACTTGAGCCTATGTAACAAGTATCCCGAAATATGACCTCCTGCGAGCGGTCTGGGTTTGTTTAAGATATGTTCTTTCGGGGTGACTGCACCCTTATCGTATATTTCTCACGATCGGGAATTGTCCGATGCGTGGGTCTAGAACTAAGATCTACAATGTACATTCTCATGTTAGCTATATAAGCTAGGGTTTGAATGAAATAAAATCAGTTTCTTACAAAAATTCAGCATATGAAGACTTCTAATTTATTTGGGGTTTTCACTTGCCATTTCTTTACTGTACGCTCACAAAGGTAGTTAGGTATAAGTGGTGAGGCAGCCCTGGCCGCCTCCAATTAGAGCTGAGCTCCGTTTTGATCCACACCCTCGATTTGTTGTTGTCTGCGCCCTACTTAGTACCAGCCCGTGTCATTCAGGTAAGCTAGGATGGCCGCTACTGGCTGCCTTCCAACTTCCCCTAGTGACTCGAGTTGGTGTGCTCCGAAGTGTCGGGCTCTTTGTTTGTTGAGTGCCGGGCAGTGGCACAGCAGATGCTCTGGTGTCTCCTGCTCGCTTGGTTCCTTGCAGCTTCTGCATTGTGGGTTGTAGGGTAGACCCATCTTACAGGCTTGCGTGCCTATTGGCCAGTGGCCGATGATGGTTGCCGCTATCCTCCTGATGTCCTTTTTGCTCTTGGAGATCAGTTCTGCGGTTCTCTTCCTATTGAATTCTGGCCAGCATAGTTTCGATCTTCTATGCTCTGCCTTCGTCGACAATTCCTTGCTGGCTAATTGTTCGAAATGGTCATGAATTTCCGTCTGGACTGAGTTCAGGGAGATCTGGATGTCTGTTGTTGCTGAGTGTTCTTCTGACCCTTTTCTGGCCAGCTCGTCTGCTTTCTCGTTTCCGTCTATGTCATTGTGTCCGGGTACCCAGGCTATTTGTACAATGTTGTCTTCTGCTAGTCTGTTTAGTGTCCCTTTACATTTGGCCACTAGTTTTGAAGTCGTCCGTGCTTGTGCGAGGGATTTGATCGCCGCCTGGCTATCTGAGTATATCCTCACCTTGGTATTCCGGAGGCCTCGGTCTAGCGAAAGTTCGGCAGCTTTCAGTATCGCGAGAACCTCCGCCTGGAAAACCGTCGCTGACTCTGGGAGGTGGAAGTATTCCTCCACCTTCCAGCTCTCGGCGTAGATTCCGGCCCCTACTCCGCCGCTCATCTTTGAGCCGTCGGTGTAGAGTGATACTTCATCCGGTTCGGTTACTCTCCCTCTCTTCCAGGCTTCCCTTGTAGGGTATATAGTGGTGTATGTGTTACCGAATCGCAGTTCGGTTGTCATGTAGTCTGTGTATACTGTCGTCCGATAGTTTATCTCGTTCAGAATCCTGCAGTGCCCGGTGTGGTAGTCTTTCCAGCTTTGACTAGGCTTAAGTCGTACCGCACCTTGTGCTGCAGTGTTCCTGATGAAATGCTCTATCGGTATTATGTTCAGGATGGCGTTCAGCGCCGCCGCGGGGCATGATCTCAGTGCTCCTGTGGCTCCTGCGCATGCCGATCTCTGTATCCTTGTTAGTTTCTGTACGTTGTATGCCCTAGTTAATGCTGGCCACCATACTAGTGCTCCGTATGTGAGTATGGGTCTTACCACCGCTGTGTAAAGCCATATTATTATCTTGGGGTGGATGCCCCAGTTCTTTCCGAACATCTTCCTGCAGGAATAGAATGCTATGCTTGCTTTCTTGACTCTCTCGTTGATGTTTTGTTTCCATGACAGTTTCGCATCCAGTATCACTCCCAGATACTTTGCCTGTTGTGATATCTCTAGTTCTGTGCCATCTATCTTTGTCTTTGTGAAGCTAGGGACCTTTGTTCTCCTAGTGAAGAGCATTAGTTCCGTTTTGCTTGGATTTATGCCCAATCCGCAGGCTTTTGCCCATGCATTGAGTTTAGTAAGTGCCCTTGTCATTAGTTCGCTGATGACGTCGGGGAATGGTCCTGAAGTGAGTAGGACTACGTCGTCTGCGTATGCTACCACTTTTACTCCTTCGCTATTTAGTGTTCTTAGTACGTCGTCCATGTTTATCAGCCAGAGCAGTGGGGACAGGACTCCCCCCTGAGGTGTGCCCCTCTTCACAAATCTTGTGTGATGAGTGCCACTCAGTTCGGCTGTTATCCTCCTGCTCGTCAGCATTGGGCCAATCCATGCCCTGATGCCTCCCTCTACTCCTATACCGTTGAGGGAACTCAGGATGGAATCCGCATTGACGTTATTAAAGGCTCCTTCTATGTCCAGAAAGGTGGCCATGGCGTAGTTTTTGAAAAGTAGAGCCTTTTCTATGTATCGCACTACCTCGTGTAATGCTGTTTCCATGGATCTGCTATTCCTGTACACATGTTGCGCATTGGAAAGGTTTTTCTCCGTTCTTTCTCTGATGTGGATATCAATGATCCGTTCCAGTGTTTTCATTAGGAAGGAGGTAAGGCTTATCGGCCTATAATCCTTGGCTTGGATGTGTCCCCTTCTTCCTGTCCCCCTACCCTCGCTTCCTTCCATGGAAGTGGTATGTGTGCTGTTTTAATGCATGCCTGGAAGATTGCTTGCAGCCATTTTTCCGTGCTTGCTTTCGTTGTTTGTAGCATTGCCGGTATTACTCCGTCTGGACCCGGGCTTTTGTATTTGTCGAAGGAATCTATCGCCCAATGGATTCTTTCCATGGTGATGATCTCTTCTACTTGTAGCTGCTGGTCTGCCCCCTGGCTTTCCAGTATTCTAGGTTCTTCTTTTTGGTTTCCTGGGAAATGCGTATTCAGCAGGATTTCCAGTGACTCTTCAGCCGACGTACTTCCTGTCCCATCGGGTTTGTTTATGAGCGTGGGGCTTGTGTATCCTCTCAATAGGATTTTACTTAGCCTCGCCGTGTCTTTGACTCCTTCAAGCGATTCACAGTAGCTGCTCCAAGATTCCTTCTTGGCTACATAGATTGCCTTTTTGTATTCTTTGTGTATTGCTTTGTACGGTCTTTGGTTCCGTAACTAGTGTTGAAGGCTTTTCGAACTTTCTTTCTGAGCTCGAATAGCTCTTTGTTCCACCATGGTGGGTATGTCTTCTTAGAGTATGTTAGTCTGCATGACTCTTTGTAGGCTTTGTTCAGAATATTTGTAAAGTCCTCGACTTCCTTATCTATTCTCTCCGGGGTGGATCGGGTCTTGATCCTTCTGTCTTTGACCTTTGACTGTACAATCTTTCCGTATTTGTCCCAGTCAGTGTTTCGAGGGTTTCGCTTCGGCGCCGTTTCACATACCGGCATCACGATTTCGAAGAATATGTACCTGTGGTCTGAAAACGAGTCTTGTGTAGAGACTCTCCAATTTCTTACCTTGTAATCACTATGCTCCATTTGGAGGGTTATGTCTAGGACTTCCTCCCAACTCTGAAATCCTTCCGTGCTTGGAAAGATGAAGGTGGGCGTGTTTCCCTTGCTACAAATATTGACGTCACGACATATAATACTATCGAAGAGAGACTCACCCCTTTCGTTTGTCTCCTTACTTCCCCACAGTGTGTGCCTTGCGTTGGCATCGCACCCGAGGATGAGCGTCGTCTTAGTCTCCTCGGCCCACTGCATCACCCTATTAACCGCTTCAGGCGGTGCAGGTTCGTCGTGGGCCATGTAACCGGAGGCTATTAGTATGGCTGTCCCATCCGCCGCCTTGAATCTTGCCACTGCTAGATCTAAGTTGCTGAGATTGGGGTAGAGAAGAGCATTAAGGTTGTTTTTAATGATTATACCCGCCCTCGGCCTACCTGTCGAGTTTGTGTACAATGTTGTGTATCCCTTTATGGCCATGCCAGAGATTTGTCCGTCCCTTGTCCATGGCTCTTGTATAAGGCCGATGTCGATGTCCTTCTCGCGGAGAAGGACCCCCAGATTAGCTGAAGCGTGGGAGCTGCGCTTCAGGTTTATCTGAACGACCGTCGGCATTAGATCGGGGTGGTGTTGGGGGTGCTGTCGTCGATCGCCAAATCGTCCAGCAGCTTAATGGCGTCCTCGACTTCATCTTCCAGGATGTCGTCCGGTTCGTCTTGGAAGACCTTCACCTTGACTTTCCTAATGCCGTACCGGACCTTGTTGTCTGCTGCCTTCAGCTGTTCTAGGCAGCTCTGGTTGATTAAGAACAGATATGGCTGGCTGGACTTCATTTCTCGCTCAGCTCTGAGAATGGCCCAGTCCTCCATGTCGACTCCCTTATTCATTGCTCGCAGAGTCTTGAGCACCCTTTCATGGCTAGACAGACCCTTGGGCAACCAGATGCGAGCTCTGGGTCTCCTTGGGATGTCCTTGGCGGGGACTAGCTTTATGCTAATCCCCTTC